TAGTGGTTGTTTTGTAGATCCCTTAAGATTTCCTATGTAAGGTATCATGTCTATGAGAATGAGAGGGTTTTACTTTTTCCTTTCCAAGATTTATAGCTTTTACTTCCTTTTCTTGCCTCATTAGAACAGCTAGGAAGGACCTCCAGCATAATATCAAATAGAAAATGGCAAGAAAGGGAATCCATACTTTGTCAGTCAGTCATGATGGAAGGCTTTCGATATTTCAGTGTTAAAGATGATGTCACTACAGGTGTTTTGTAGATGCTTTTTATCAGGTAGAAGAAATGTCTTTGTGTTCCTTATTTGCTGAGTCAGGGATTATTGAATTTTGTGGAAAGCTTTTTTGAACTTATTGAGAGGACTATATGGTTTATATCCATTATTCTGTTAATACATGCAATATATTAATTGATTTTTGAATTAAAAATCTTGCATTCCTGGGAAAAACTTCATTTGATCACAATGTATTAACCTTTTTAAATATTGCTGGATCCAACCTTCTAATATTTCATTAAGAATGTTTCTGTCTATAATCATAAGGAATATCAATTAGTAATTTTCTTTGCTTGAAATATTTTTCTCAGATTTTGGTATCTGGGTAATCCTTGACTTATAAAATGGGCTCCTCTATTTTTCAAATTTGCTTGACATTCATATTATTTCTTCTTTAAATATTTGATAGTGTTCACCAAAGAAACCATATGGACCTGGAGTTTTCCTCATGAGATTTTTTAAACCACAGATTCAAATTTTTAAATAGACACAGGGTTATTCAGATTTTCTATTTCATACTGTACTAGCTTTAATAAGTTATCTTTTAAAGTAATTTGAAAACACATCTAATTTGAATATATTGGTATAAAATTTTCATGTTAATATTTCCTTATTCTTTTAATGTCAGTATGATCTATAGTTATATTAATATAACTCTTTCATTCTTAATGTTGTTTTCTATTTTCTCTCTTTCCTTATCAGTCTTATTTGAGGTTCATCAAGTTTATTACACTTTTCAAAGAACAAACTTTTGGCTTTGCTAATTTTCTCTATTAATTGTCACTTCTATCTAGCTGATTTTTGATTTTACATTTATCGACTTTGGGTTTAATTTCATCTTCTTTTTCTAATTTCCTAAGGAGGTTTGGAGTCAAAGCAGGCAGAGAGCAAGACATGTGTGTGGAGTACACCAAATTAAAGCTTGGGTATCACTTTCACTTGAAGTCTTGGAGACTACCTTCAGATTGTAGACACACACACACACACACACAAATACAGGATGCTCAAGCTTTCGAAGCAGATGTTCTTCATCTTTGGACATACATTGAGTGTTTTGCTAGCACCAGTGTTGTAAAAAGCATTATTTTAAGTGCTATTTCACCATTATTTTGCCATTTTCAAAGACTCCAGGCATTTGACCAGCATTTGTAGAGGAGTGGTTTCATGAGCTCCGGGCTGGAGATGATTCTCACAGAGATTTCTATGTGGATGCCTAGCTAAGGAGATATTTCGAAGAAGTCGGTCCTAGAGCCTTTAAAATAACCATTCTTTAAAGAATTATCTCCCCATCATTCACCATTACTTCAAGAACAGTAGCCCCTTTCGCCATCCTTTCACGAATAATTTTTTGGAGCTGGCATTTGTGAGAGGTGGGAAGTCCTGGGTCAGTCCTTCCCTCTCGCTAGTTATCCTGAGAGATGAGAAGCGCGCATGCACGAGACGGGTGAAAAGTGTGGATCCTGTTTCAGTCTTTAGGACCCGCACTTTTCACCCTCATCTTCAGACTGGTTTGATGGCTCAGCTCGGAAGGGGAAATTTGCTCCAGGGCAAATCAAAGCTCTGAAGGACCAGGTTCACTGCTTTGAACGTGTCTGGAAAGCCCACTGGTGCATCACCATGGCCCAGACTAAGCAAGAGTCTGGACTTTCAGGCAAAGACAAGGTTTTAGTGTTTAAACCTCTTTTTTACATTTCTTTAGAATGCTTTCCTAGGAAACTAGCAGGAGGGGAAATATCTCAGCCTCACTGTCCAAATGAAGTTGCGCTCTTTAGATACCACAACCATGAAGGTTATTTATTCTGGGTCCTGGATATCTATAGCTATAATCTTGTAGGTTTTAGCACCCTGATCAACAAGTGTTGTCAATCAATCTTAACTCTTTAAAAACCCTAAAAATTTGAGTTGGTGGGAAAAAAGGTCTATGGGTAGTTCGGGATAGGAAGACAATAAAAAAAGACTACTACAGTTTCAAATATAAGTGATGATGTAAGCAAGGGTTTCAAAAATTGGAAAATAAGAGAATTAGGTCTGCTGTCCTCCTGGTTGGAAGTTTGTAGAAGCCAATGATTCCCAAGGAAGTTTTAAACTTAGAAAAATGTTGACGTAATTAACTTGAATTTTATGGATATCTTCTATTTCCCTCAGATTATTTTCTCCCTACCTCTTTCCAACAGTATGTAGTATGTCTCCTGGGATTTTTAAAATTTCCTTTATGACCTTAAATCTACGAAAACTTTTTCATTGTGAAGTCATGAAAATTGCAAGAGAACTTGGAGGAATAACAGATACCATGAGACAGATCTGCCTCATTTCAACCTAGAAATCTCCTTTAGTATTTGTAAGGCATCCATCCAGTTTCTTTACCACCAGAGCTACACCCAAGATAATCAAATAAAACACAGAAGTTGTGGGAACTCTAATGTGGCCATGGAGGTGAAGGTGGGGCCCGCTTGCTGGGAACCATCTGCTCTCATAAAAAATTTAAAGCAAGGTAATATTTTTACACATTATTTTCTGTAATAAATATTAAGGTATTAAATATACAGTGCATCTTGCCTTTCTATTATCCACTTAAAACTATTTATTGAATGCCTACTATATACTAGGCATTGTGAGAGGGATAAAGGGATAAAATGGAGCAAAGAAACAGAGAAAAGCAAGCTTAAAGACAGTTGTTCACACCACTGCACTCACTCTAGCCTGAGCAACAAAGTGAGACCCTGTCTCAAAAAAAGAAAAAAGATAATCGTAAATGGAAAGGGTGAGACTGGAGATGAAAAGGTGAATTGTTGGTGGGCTCTTTTATTATCTATGCCTCTGCATGTTCTTGGGCCCCTGAGTCAGAAAGAAGTAGTTGTGTTGGATCCCTGCTGACATGAATGGCAGGGAGTGGTGTGTGTGTGTGTGTGTGTGTGTGTGTGTGTGTGTGTGTGTCTGTGTGGTGGATTTTGGAGAGGATGAGGGAGCATAAGGAGAATACCTCAATTTCTGCCCAATAGAAGTGGGAGGATGGAATCACTGATGTTCCAGAAGCTAAGAAAAGAAAAATGTAAATTATTTTCTTTACGCATGTGGTTTGCACAACATCCTCCAACATAAGACTCCCACTTGGGTCCTAAAGTTGGAAAAATCTGGGGAGTATAGAGAAGGGGAACAGAGCAACAATACTTGACATGGTATGCCAGATGTCAGCAGTAGCAGACTGACTTCCAAAGAAAGACCTCTGTAAGATGTTCTCCAGGTTCACCAGTCATGTGCATTATGAACCCAGAACTAATGACATTTACCTAAATTATAAAGACATATTTCTCACACAACTCCCTATGTACAGGCAGGGTAGCAAAGGAAGAGTTCTTCAAGTGGGGATAATTTGAAGAGCCCTGAAGAAGAACTCCCCACCCCAAATAGTATTTGCCATGTTGACTGAAAGTCTTAATTTTGTTTCACTGCTTCAGAACCCATCAATCTGTAATCATTGCACTATAACCACAGAAGCAGTTATAGCATAGTGTAGTAATTAAAGAGTGTGTACTCTGAGACCAGATTGCCTTGTTCACCCTGGGCTTCACCACAAATTGCTCAAGTGACTTTGGGGCATGTTTCTTAATAATAGCTAAGAATTACATTGACTGAGCATGTAATCATATAGCCAAGTACAGGGTCAAGCACTTTACATGCACTAACATGAATCATTAATCCTCACAACACCCTACAAGGTAGGTATCATTATTATCAGTATCATTTTATGGATGAGGGAACTGAGGCACACATCTAACTTTTGGACCCAAAACCAGTATGTGGGGAAGCTGAAATTCAAACCTAAGCAGACTTAACTGCTATGCTAGTCCCCTCACTTAGACTCTCTAAGCCACAATACCTACCTCTTAGAATAACTGTAAGACTTAGGTTTAAGATAATGCTTATAGTGTCCAATGTGTCCAATGCAAAAGTGTCCAATACTATACTATCACTATTGTTATTAATTCAGATAAATCAATTCTTTTAAAACATTGTAGTACTCAGCAAAGCCAACTTTACTGCTCCTCAATTATGTATTAAAGCTCTATATTAGGTGCTAAGGTGACATAGTGACTTGATTCCTGTCCTCAAGAAGCTCACAGAGTTCAAGGCCTGCTTACGTTGCTCCACTGCAAGAAATCCTTTGAAGGTCCTATGTTGCTTTCAGAAAGTTCACATCTCTAGCTTGGCACAAAACACCCATCACAACTGCACCCTTTCTTGCTCTCTGGCTTCATCTCCTACCACTTTCCCCCATTCACACTCAAGCCTGAGCTCCTTACCATTCTTCAGACATGCCACACATTTCATATCTCCATGACCTATGTGCTATTCCACCATTCTGAAAATACCCTTTCCTACCTCCATTTCTCCACCTTCAGTATTCAACCCAACTGTCTGGAATTCCCCCATCCCCTGCTAGATTAGCTGCTCTTTCTCCCCACTCACACGGAATGCTGCACACACACACTGCAGTTATCACACTTTACTGAAACTCTCTACTTACTACCTCCTCCATTATTCTGTGAGCTTCGTGAGGACAGACTGTCTTAGTGGTCTCTTAGTCTAGCTCCCAGAACAACATATGCACAACAGGCATGCAGTGAATGTGTACAGAATGAATGAACAAACTGTAGTTAGTGCTTTAATGGAGTATAGTAATTTAATAGAATGAGAGACAAATTGACTGAATTAGTATGATGACTTACTTGACATGGGTGGCATCTGAACTGGCTCTTTATGGGAAGGTAGATGTATTAGGGTTCTCCAGAGAAACAGAAAGAGAGAGAGAGAGAGAGAGAGAGAGAGAGAGAGAGAGAGAGAGATTATTATGAGGAATTGGCTTATGTGAATATGGAGGCTGAAAAGTCCCATGATTTGCCATCTGCAAGCTGGAGACCCAGTAAAGGTGGTGGTATAATTTTAGTCTGAATCTGAAGGTCTTAGAATCAGAACTGATAATGTAAGTTCAAATTCAACCCCAAAGCCCTGAGAACTGGAGGGCCAATGGTGTGCGTACCAATACAAGGGCAAGAGTAGACATATGTCCCAGATCAAGCAGTCAGGCAGAGAGAGAGGATTCTTCCTTCCTGCACCTTTTTGTTCTATTCAGGCCCTCAACAGATTGCATGATGCCCACCCACATGGGGAAGGGCAATCTGCTTTACTCAGTCTACTGATTCAAATCTCTTCTGGAAACACCCTCATAGACACACCCAGAAATAATGTTTAACCAGATATCTGGGCATCCTCTGGCCCAGTCAAGTTGACACACAATATTAACCATCACAATAGAACTTGGATCAATGAATATATGTAGAGAACTTCCCAATAAAAAAAAGGTTTGCAGAAAGCTTCTAGAAGGAACTTCTGGGTTTTAAATAGACCTCTGTGACTTGAACATAGGGCAGAAACATGGATGATAAGGATATAGTAGCAATAAAACTGAGAACTGCAGAGACCCTGGACTATCAAATCTATTCTTAAGCAATTTTCAACTAAAAATCTTACTGCTGAAATGTTTTCGGCTCCCAATTCTTTAATTTGCATTTCTTCTTATTCATTCACTAATAACTGACCCCTGATAATCTACACCCAAAATACAGCTATGTGTACAAGTAGGGGTTGTAACAAAAGGATAGAAATAGGGAAAGGAAAATAGTATGGACAGAAAAATATGGGGAAACTGCTGTAAGTTATAATATTGAGCAGATAGTGTATTCATCTGTATCACAGCAGGGACCTTGTCATCCTTGTTTGATTATTCTTACATTTTTTTAAACTTTGTCATTTCTTACTACATTTATTTCTGTAACAGACCCATGGTGACTAACTTAGGATGCAGAGAGATGATCCCTGTAGACAACCAATATCATTTTAGAAAGGAAACCTTTGGCCCATGGGCTTTGAACTACACTAGTAAGCTACTGGAATTACTTAACAAGCCAGTGATACCGGGGGTGCAGTATTAAATACAGGTTGCATCACACAAGAACAAAATGTGCACAACTATTTCACTCGTTGCACTCCCTGGTTTAAGCACCAACTCAATATTTACTGCACACCTGTTATAAGAAAGATACCGTTCTTAGCAGAGAGAGAGATACCTGGATGAATTTGGTATGATTCAGGTCCTCTAAGACCACAGAGTAGGTGAGCCAAATGTATACATGATAATGCATTTCAGCGTGTGATGAATGTATGAAAAATGTATCACAGAAGAAAAAAGGATGCATTTATCAATCTTAACAGGAGAAATGGGAAAAGTTTTCATGGCAGGGTCAACAATGACTCCTAAGAAAAGTTTTCACTCAGTGTCTTCATTTGTATAATTTTTTTTAGTTACAAAGGTAATAAATGTTCATTATAGAAAAATTAAAAAATACAGATAAGCAAAAAGAACCACCACAAATCACTATTTCTGTATATCCCATTTATTTATTTATTTATAAAACTGAGACCATATTGTACATACTTTTCAGTAAACTTTTTTTTAGGCAACAATATATTACAACAATCTTTCCATGTTCTTTAATATATCTCTACAACTAACTTTTATATTTATTTAAATAGCTGCACATCAAAAGGTATAAAAGGATATACAGTAAAAGAATGTCTCTCCCTCATCCCATCCCTCCATTACTTTATAATTTTAACTGGAAGCAGCTAGTGTTACCAGTTTTTTGTGATTCTTCCAGTTTCCCATGACCCTTCCACAAATATTCTGAGTATATGAGCATATGTGCATATATTTATCTTTTTAAATAAGTGGCAGTAGTGCACACAGTTTTTTCCCTTGATTTTCTCTGTCCAGTCAGTACACATCACTCTCTTGTTCCTCTTAGTCAGCTGCACAGTGTTCCACTGCATGGATATACAATAATTTATTTATTTAGGCCCCTTTGATGGACATTCAGAACGTTTCCAATCTTTTACTATTACAGTATTGCTAGGTATAGACTTAAAATGTAAATAAACATGTATTTGTGAATATATGTATAAGCAAAATTGCTAGAAGTGGAATTTTGAGATTAAAGAATACATATATTTTTTAATTTGATAGATATTACCACAGTGCCCTCCATTCAGGTGGTCCTAATTTCTACTCCTGCTAACTACAAATGAGAATATCTATCTATTTCCATATCTGTGGCTACCTAGCCAGATGATGTTTCCCAACCCCTCCCCCAACACATACACACCTTGCAGACAGGTGAGATAACATGTCTAGTTCTGGCCAATGGAATGTGGAAATGTGAACAGAAATGTGTGTTACAACCAAGTCATGGTAATTGGGAAGAAAGTGTACACTCTTCACCCTATCTCTGAAATTCCATCAGCTGGAAACAGAAGAAAGAGTTCAAAGTCTTAGGGAATGATGGAGATGCATAATGGAAGGAACCTAAGTCCCTGAATCACCATACAGAGAAAAACAACTGTCTACTAACCAGAAACATGCACATTGGACTATTACATGAGGGAAAAATAAATTTCTATAGTATTAAGCCACTGAAGTGTTGGTATTAGTTATAACATCTTGCTTTAATATGCAAAGATACTCTTTTTTATATAAAATATCAGATCCACAGTTCTTAGGACACACTTAGAGAATGTTGCTCAAGTATTTCAATGTTAACTATGACACTGGCTGTTAAGAAAATATCCTTCTTTTCTTGGACTACCAAGAGCTGTTTTTGTTTATCAAGAATGGGCATAGATTTATCAAATACTTTTGTAATATCTGTGGAAATGATCCTAGGATTTTTTTCCTTTGATCTATTACAGTGGTATATTACATTACTATTTCCTAATGTTGAAACAGCATTGTATTTCTAAAATAAACCATGTTTACTTGTATATTTTATTTTTTATATGGTATTAAATACAAAGGAATAACCAGAACAAAATAATACATTGGGAAATTCTTTAAATATGATTTATAAATTTTAAATTTCAATTGAAGAAGTAAAACATATAACAGACCCTCCGAAGAACAAATTTGTTTTCTGGAAAAACAGGTAAAAGAATATCACATTATCCAGGGCAAAAATAAAAAGAAATGGAATTTCTAAATGAAAAGATAAGAGAACTAGAGGGCAGGTCCAGGAGGTCTAATTGGAAATAAAAGGAGTTCCAGAGGGAGAACAAGGACCATATTGGAAAAAGCAATAATCAAAACGTAATACAAGAAAACATCCCTCAAGACAAGACTAGAGTTGCCAGATCAAGTCCTAGTTCTAGACAGGATACATGAAAAAGGGCATATACCCAGATATATACCAGTGAGATTTTTGAGCTTTAAGAATAAAGAAAAGTGCCAGGCATGGAGGCATGTACCTGTAACCCAGCTACTTGGGAGCTGAGGCATGAAGATCACCTGAGCCCAGGAGTTTAAGGTTGCAATGATCTATGATCACACCATGGCACTCCTGCCTGGGCAGCAGTGTGAGACCCTATCTCTAAAAAGAAAAGAAAGAGAGAAAGAAAGACAGAAAAGAGAGAAGAAAGAAACAGAGAAGAAGAAGAAAGAAAGAGAGAGAGAGAAAGAAATAGAGAAAGAGAGAAAGCAAGAGAGAGGAACTAAGGGAAACAAAGAGAAAGAAAACACAGAGAAAGGAGAGAAAGAAAAGAAGGAAAGAAAGAGAATACAGAAAAGAGATAAACTTTCAGAAAGAAAGACAAGGTTACTTACAAACGAATGAACATGAGGCTGTCATTGGGCATGGTTAAGAACATGGGTTCTGAAGTAAGACTACCCGGGTACAAATTTAGGTGTGAACTTGAGCAACTTACTTAACTTCTTTGTGCTTCTGTGAAATAGGGACAATGTTAGTACTTAGCTTCTAAGGTTGGCTGGAAGCAACATCAGAGATAATATGTGCAAGAGCCTGATACATAGTTAGAGTCACTAGACTTCCAGCTGTTAACTTCAAAAGCTGTATCAGTGAGTCAAAACTTTGTAGACTTGAGAGGGCAAAAGACCCTCCACAGAGAATAGGGGAGAACACTAACAGTCTGAAGAACTGGACAACAGCTACCATCTCCTAATGGCAGCTGAGCTGAGCGGCAAGATAGTGAAAAGTGAACTGATGGGCAGAAGGAATTTCATTGAGTTATTTCAAATAATGTGACAAGACAAGGAAAAGAGGTTTTTGGCCTGGAGCTCAAGATTATTGGAGATGAAAAAGTTGTAGGCTCTGTCAGAGTACACAGACTTATAGTGGAGTTTCTTAACACATTGACTGCCACACTAGAAAATATTTTTTTTTTTTTGAGGCAGTCTCTCACTTTGTTGCCCAGGCTAGAGTGAGTGTTGTGGCGTCAGCCTAGCTCACAGCAACCTCAATCTCCTGGGCTCAAGCAATCCTCCTGCCTCAGCCTCCCAAGTAGCTGGGACTACAGGCATGTGCCACCATGCCCAGCTAATTTTTTTTCCTATATATATTAGTTGACCAATTAATTTATTTCTATTTATAGTAGAGACGGGATCTCGCTCTTGCTCAGGCTGATTTCGAACTTCTGACCTCAAGCAATCCGCCCGCCTCAGCCTCCCAGAGTGCTAGGATTACAGGCGTAAGCCACCACGCCTGGCCATAGAAAACAATTTTTTTCCTTGGGGCCATGGTGTTTTATTACAAAAATAGAATTAAAACTTTGAAAACAAAATAATCCTTTCTAATTTAATTAAAAATTTGTTATTTTTTATTGTTTTCTGTGCATGAGCTATACACAACTTGAAAAATAGTTCACGCGGCTCCCACAGTG